GAAGGCTGCTCTTGAAACACCCATGAAAACTCTGCAGGTGTGGGCTGTGGCATCATCTTGTTGTAACCACATGTTGTCCTTTCTTGGATAGTGTGTGAAAAGAATTGTTGGATCATTGTCACATACCGGTCTGAATTGACCCACGAACTCGTTCCACATTTCCAGGTGCTCTAATGGTCTTAGGAGGTCCTTTCCTTTCTTTGGAGACATTCCCCGTTACACGGAAGGCATCCATCCACATTAAAACACATTTTCGACCAGGAACACGACCTCATGGAGGAATATCGAAGTGATGACGAAAGGCACGTTGCACTGCAATCGCCGACCGACCATTAGAGAAATACACCTCCACGGCAAAAGCACACTGCTGCCTCGACCACAACATGATTGAGACTGTGATGGGCAGAAACATAAATATCCCATTCCACCCCTTCCCACGCTCCTCCCTACGAACATCACTACAACATGTTCAAATCGGCAAGTTCCCGCGCCCCACCCTGTATGTCATCACGCGTTTCTCCCTGAAGGGCCCCTGATTGATTTCGATTTCCCCGTTCTGAGGCATATGTGATGTGAATTTGGAATGATTATAATCAATAAAATTCAGCGTATTTTATTACAGTAATGATTTTATATGAATATTTAAATGAAGTTAGGCTTCCTGAACGGATTAAAGCAGTAAAACGCTTTAGATCCTGAAGGAAATCAAAAAAAGCTTTTTTAATGCAACGAAAAAATGTTCGTTCAATAAAGTGAGGAATTTAATTTAGAATGTTCCCCCGATATTGACTTATGGAAATTTGACTGAAGGTAAATAAAAAACCAAATTGTTTTTAAATATGTTCAATGAAACCAATACATGTAAAAAATTTTCATTGTTTTCGGAATTCTTTCGAAGGTATCAGTTGCATTTCTAAGATAATGCGAAGCATGAATGTGAAAGGCATTACCAAAGAACTTAATGGAGCCATTTACAAAAAACACATTAACTGCTCAGACAAAAGCTGAGACCGTGGCAATGCCACCCACACGTAATGTTTTTAATTTTCTCACGGTTATTTCAGTGGCTGAAATGTGAAGACAAGCCAGCAAAAATGTTTAGTTTCTGTCGCTTTGTAAGGGAGTATGTTTAATATTTCTCCGCAGTGTGTAGTATGACACTCTGTCGTTCTCTCACAACGGAAGCCATTGTTCCCGCATTTCAACCGTTATTATTATTTTTTTCCTCGACACACGGGTACTTAACTTGTGTTGAATCCGGAAGAGAGTGGTACTTTTTCGATAAATAAGCACACAAATTTGGCAGGGAGCCAATGCAGAGGTAAACGAACTTAACTCGGTTGCATATGCTCGGGGGTGTGTCCAGACTGATCATATTTTCTTTTCTCGAACGGTAGTGCTCACTTTTTTTTTGTCACTCTTGTAAAAGAATTATTATTGTTGCAAGCGCTCGCATTGCAGGTAAAGTTTTTTCCCCTGAGCATAAAATATATGTTGGGAGTATTTTAGAAACAAAGTAATTAAAGAGCTAACCTCTCTCTCTCCATTGAAGTTGGTACAATGGTCCATCTCCAATGCCCTTAGTGTTACTTCAAGGTTTGGGTGTTAATAAAAAATCAATATATAAGAGAATCTAAGGAATTGTACTTGATATTTTTAAAATATGCTATGATTCCTAATTTTATTTAGCTTTTATTTTAATTCAATTTAGGCTACAATGTGCAAAAAATAATTTCCGATATGCCAATTTGTATGCATTTGTATATTCATTTTTTTAAAAAAATCATGAACTAGTATTTTTTTTTTGTATAAAACATCTTAATGAAAAAACAGTTTGTATTCATTTTAACAATTCTTTCCTAAAATTGCAAAAAAAAAAAAAATTTTTTTTTAGTAATAGATTTCATCAGTAGCGCACACAGGAATTTTTCAAGGGGGTCCGGGGGCGAAAAAAGTTCACCATTCTTGTATCATGCTCCTTTTGATTTTGTCGATTTTCGGGAACAAAACACAGTAAAAAACTAATTATTGTATAAATAATTAGCATTAATTAATAAAATTAATCATTAATAACAAATACTTAATTAAATTTTACGTACTATATACTTAGAATTATAATCAATCGGGGAAAAAAATCAATGGCTTTGGGGGGCGAACCCCAGGACCCCCCCTTTTGTGCGCCACTGGACTCCATTATTGTGTGCATAAAACAGTAACATTGTCTTCTTTCGTCTTCAGAATTTGATACATTATAATGAGTTAATTTCTGAAACGTCATTGACTTTAATTCTCATATGTGGTTTTAAGACAACGCTGCCCAAGAAAAAGCAAAGTTACTTATTTTTTCTTCTGTTTTTTTACACGACTGATTTGCTTATAACATATTTTGGGATAGCTTAGTGCACCTAAGAAGAAGACATAATTTATTTTACACCAATTAATTTAGCTTACACCAACGGAATTACTTTGAACCTCGACAGATTTAAAGTGGGTTATCTCCTCCAATTAGCGAGTCTTCAACACTGGAACTCAATACCGTGACTCGACAACGCTGATCACCAGCTCGTGACCATGGACAGTCGGTACTGCGGCCACAATGCAAACGTAAAGATGGGGTAAATTTTTTTTAGCGAGAATCCAGATTTTGAATTCTGTCACAGTAAACAAAAGCTCTTATTACTAATTATCCCGTTTTTTTAAGTGTTGTTCTAACTTGTCATTGAAAGGTTTAATTTGTGCTCGCCTTCCGGGAGCGAAAACAGAAATTGCGAGCCGTACACCAGTAGTTAGCATGTCCTTTGCACCTCTTGCAGAAAAACAACTACAGAACAAATGCGCTCTGTAGAACGATACTGTATTTATAAAACAAACACTTCAGAAATATGTCAAGCAAATTATAAATCAAAATCCTTCAAATGATAAAGAGTACCAATAATATACGATTTTCAATTCAAGCTCCTCTCCACTTACAAGAAAATAAACTCACTCACAATCAATAAAACCAATCCCCTCGCAGAGTAGAAAAATTCCATCTGTCACTCGTCCTTCCAGGAATTCCTACCGGATCTGAAAAATCTTACGAGTACACAAAACAGAGAAAAATCAAAATACTGTTAAGAGGTCATCCTAGCTAAAAACAATTCTACTGTCATAACGTTAAAGAAAAATATCAAAGTGCATTTAAAAAACATGACAAAAAATAATAATAATAACTTGAAATGTTAGAAATACACAAAGGGGCTGAAAACGCTTTTTTCTTTATTGGACGACGATTTTATTTTATCTTCCCAAAAGTAGAGTGTTTCGATATCCCCCTTTTTTTTATGTGTAACATTCCTCTCGATTGCTGAATTTTGTCCGAGTGATTTCGTCAAAAGGGACGGAAGTTAGTAACAGGAAGTGACGTAAGAGCGCGCTATTTGATTTGACGAATGAGAGCGCGTGGTCGATACCCTCGCATCGGGGTCCAAGTCTAGTCGTTTTTTTATATTGTTAAAGTTAGCTTTTCAAAACTTTCGAATTCTTATTCAGGATAAACTCACGATAAAGTCTTAGGACTCGGTTGTGTAAGAAATCTGAGGTTAATTTTAATTTATATGTGTAAACTATATATTAATAATTATATTTATACTGTTAAGCGTGTCTGACAAAGTTCATAATTTTTAAGAAAATACGAATAAGTTATACGGAATTATTCGAATAAATATTTTAGTGCTTATCTTTTTCATACTTTGAGGTTAATTCCTGTCGCTGTCAATATAATATTTTTAATTGTGATTAAAAAAAGTTTTCTCGACATAAAAACTCTTAATTATATCTCCTAAATAAAATTCTCATTAAAGATATAATTAGATAGAAAATTAATTCCAATGATAATTGATTCATGGCTAAATTCAATCACACTCAAAATCATGGGAAGCGAGTGATAGCTTGTTTTTGAAAGAGCAGAACGATCTTCGGTACTTGGTAAAAATACAAAATGCAGGAAATCTTTAATTTTTTGAACTGTTTGATTCGGAGAAATGTATACGACCACCATTGTCCATTTTCAAGTCTATTGTATCCACTGTTCCACAAATTGATATAGAAAAAATATTTTTGATAAAAAATTGCATTAGTCCTTGTGTTAAATAAGTAAAATTTCCATTAGAGATATAACTATTCGATAGAAAATTATTTCCAATCATACTCGATTCATTTTTTTCAGATTTAAGTTACTATTGCGTATTTACCACGATAACATGTCAGATGTTACACATGATATGCGAATACTGTAAGGCTCGTTTCTTTATTTTTCTCTGAACCATTACCTAGTAGTCGTGTCAGCCTAGTGATTATGGTCACGAAATCCTACTGAAGAGACTCTGGTTCGAGTCTTGGTGCCGCGGAGGACCTGACGTGTTGTACGAGCCGACGCACGCTAAATCTGTCGAGACTCCATATCCTCCCATAGGTGTAGTGAGTTGTGATAATTAGGAGAGGGTGATGCTATCTCATGTGTCGTTCTCGTCACTTGACTTTGGTTCAAAATTACGAGATTCATCGCCAACAGCTGTCGTGTTGCCTTATATTGTAACGTCAATAAACTCGCACTGTACTATGACTTCTTTAATATTTTGGAAATGCCAAGGACACAGAAACAAGATTACTTATTTGAAGAATTTTATTAGTAAATATAATGTAATTGTAATTGCAAAACACTTATTCAGTTCCTACTATTAGTTACACTCTCCCTTCATATATATATATATATATATATATATATATATATATATATATATATATATATATATCTTGCTCAAATTTTCAATCGTTAATAAAATACTTTTTGTTCATCCACACACACAAGTTCAAATACATTTTTTAAAACTTGTAGTGGATGACACTTGATATTACTACTGTTTTTTCAAATATTAATTCATTTTCATTTAATTAATGAATAAATAGTAACAAAACAAAAATAGTAATCCAACACTATATATAAAAAGGAAAATTGTTAAGTCCCTGAAGCGCAATGAAGAGCGCGTTGGACTTCTAATTGAAAGGTAGTGGGTTCAAATTCCACCTGGGATGACCTAATTTCTGAGAATGTGATTTCTTTTTGCTATACTATTTTATTGGAATAATTAAAATTAATTAATGAATGAATAGTAACAAACAAGAGAGATATCCAACACCCTATATGAAAAGGAAAATAGAAAATTGCAAAGAATATTGCTTTCTATTTTGCTACTTAATATTGTGGTTCTGTCATACGTATATACATATTTATATCAATTGTAATTATTTAATAAAAAGTAACTAAAATAAAATTTTTCTTTGTCCACCTAAGCAGGAATTGACTTAATTTTTTTTAATATATTACTTAAACAGCACAAGACAGTTGGAACCAAACGTCTTAGTGTTTTCAAATAAGATAACACACAGAAAGCAATTAAAGGCGTCGTTTGGATAATTCCATGATTTCCCGGTCTCTCAAATAAATCCATTTACCAAACCCAACTTCAAGCCGTAGCTGTCAAGATTCATTTGCAATCCTTCATAACAATCTACACTCTGTATTTGTTTCCACAAACACATCCATTAACATTACGAGCATCAATAATCTCATTAATCATCTCCCTGAGCCTTTTAATATTGCTCGGAGATTTAGACAAGACGTCATTTCGTCACGTTTGAGAATTGGACCTTTTATTGTGATTTTCTGGGAGTTGTGTTGTGAAATAAGTGCGTTTGTAAGTTCAAATATTTCCACTGGCTGCGAGACATTTTAACGGAATTTCCACATTTAACACTGCTCGATCACCAATCATGCACTTTAAGTTAGATTGACTTGATTTGGTAAATTTTCATGCAAAAAATTTTCTGTTCTTGCACGATATAGGTTTGGTTTTCAAATTCCTACTATTAGATCACTCTGTTCCTACGTGAGTTGAGTTGAGTTAATATTAACGTCGCACTGTTCAGCTACACGAGGGCTTTTGGCGACGGACCACGTAATTTTGAACCATGGTCAAGTGACGTGGACGACACCTGAGCTGGCACCCCCCTCTCCTAACTACCACACCACACCAACGGGAGGACGTTTCAGCTCTCGACAGATTTAACGTGCATCGCTGCCCTACACGGCGGGTCTTTAGTGGTACTTGGATCGAACTCATGACATGCCTGCCATGGTTGGATACCTTAACCACTGGGCTACCGCAGCCCCTGTTCCTACGTGTATTTGTTTATTTATATACATTGTTGAAATTTTCAATCGCAAATAAAATACTTTTTATTCATCCATTCAAGTTCAAATACATTTTTTTAAACTTGTATTGGATGACACTTGATGGTAACCCAGTTTTTTTTCAAATATTAATTCGTAAATTTTTTTTTAATTTAAAATTTATTCTGCATTATTTCTGGAGAAGTTTGAACTTGTTGCAAGAGATGGCGCCAGTATGTTTTTCTAACGAATTTTTTCTTTGCTTCAGATATTTTTTTTATCCATTAAAGTTCAAATACATCTTGTTTAACTTGTAGTGGACGACACTTGATGGAAGAACAGTTTTTTAAAATATTAATTCATTAATTTATTTAATTAACTATAATATAAAATTATTCTTTGTTGGCCTAAGTAGGAATTTGACTTCAAAAAAAATTTTACGTTACTTGTTTTAATTAAAAAGTTTTATATTGATACAAATTTACGTGGGGGGGGAGCAGACGACGACTCCAATTATTTGAATAAAAACATATTTATAAAGGGTAAAGACAAACAGATGACTACATGAAGCCAAATAGATGTAAATACTTAAAGAAATATTACAAAAGTTTATTTACTGGGAAAAAACTTAAATTAAAAACAAGCTTTACAGCGTTCTAAAAACGACTCTGTAGAACAGTTCCACCAGCAGAACTTTCCAATACTTTACCAAACTCTTTCTAGAAGGATCGAACCTTAAGGCTTATTAGTGATTCCTTGGCAATATTATATTTTCATCTAATTTGTTGCGAAGGATGACAAAATCAGGAATCTGGTAACACTAACTCATCTTTTGCGTTTGCCAAAAAAAAAAAAAAAAAAATCTTATTTTCAAGTTCATGCTCGGAAGCAACCTTGGACTCTAAAACTCAATTTTCCCGCAAGGAGAATATCGCCGCTGGGAAAACAACACGCGTGATTGTTTCAACATGCATTGCAGAAAGTTAGTTTTGTATTGCTTTATGTAATAATTGAAGTATTTTTAATTGTGTTTAGGTTTATGTTCTGTAAGAATTCAGTGTCAGAAGATCAAATCGTCCGAAATTACCTCACGTCTTTTAGTACGGTTGAAATATTTTCTTTAACTTTTTCTTTTACTTTCTTTAAAAAAAATTAAAACATTTCAATTAGTTGAATTATTTAACTTTATTAAATTTAAAAATTGGCATAGCTACTCAAACTTCAATAGACGGGTAATTTGCTTTACTTGTAACATTTTTTTCTTTCTAACTTTTTATTTTCGAAGGTCATTACAGGTTACGTTCCATATATTTTTTTAGTGATGTTTGAAAACTGGAAAGTAGTGAAAACACGCGCACTTCGCTGGTGTCTTTTTTAAATATAATAAAAATGTATAAATCAGCAACAACAACAAAAAACTTTAATTTTGCTTTTGTTCAAAGATTACATTTTATTGCTGAAGAGTTTCATTAAAAAAAATTTCAAACCATTGGGGAAACCTTCGTACTTCTCAAATAAAACTTGGAAAAACAAAATCTCTATGATATTTTTGTTTTCAATAACGGTAACAATTCTATAAAATCAGAAATTCCATGAATCAAACTGTTTTTCTTCCGCACTGCATTAATAAAAGCTTCAGTGCTTACATCATGTTTACTCTAGAAGTTATGCTGTCTATGAATTGCATTCACATTCTCTGTCTCTAATACCTTGTTTGTCAAAAGAATTCTATCAAAAGAATTTCTACCTACGTCAATAAACTATCCTTATGACTTATTCTCAATTCAAACCATATTCAATGTTAATGAAGAGTTTTTTTCAGTACTTCAGGGCAATACTTATCAGATTGCAATATTTGTCAATGTAAATATCATATTCGTACTTCGCTAAAATAGAGAGCAGTTTTGGTATAATGTTTCGTTTTATAAAAATCAATTTTTCGACTCAATATTTTTATTAATTCATCTCCTTTCATGCGCAGTACCCAAGTGATTTAGATCGCGATCTCGTGGCCTTCGTTGACGAATCATTGATTCCAAATCTAGTGTCATTAAAAACCACCGTGTAGTGAGAGAGTGAATATTAACGTCGCACTATTCAGCTACTCGAGGGCTTTTAGTGACGAACCTCATAATTTTGTACCATGGTCAAGTGACGACGATGACACCTAAACTGGAACCGATCTCTCCTACCTTCCACACCACACCAACTGGAGGACGTTTGAGACTTGACATATTTAACACGCATATACCCCCTCTGCACGATGGGTCTTCAGCGGTACTAGGCTCGAACTCATGATACGCCGGCCACAAGTCCGTTATTTTTACCACTAGGGTACCGCGGCCAACCAACCGTGTAGAGAGGTTGCTGCAAGTTAAGTCTGTCGAGGCTGAAAGCCCTCCCGTTAGCTTGATGTGGAAGTTGGGAGAATGGGTGCCCGATCAGGTGTCGTCCATGTCATTTGACCGATACTCAGAATTATGAGGTCCGTTGCCAGTAGCCCTCGTGTTGCTTTAGAGTGTGACGTTGTTTAAAAATAAAAGTTTGAAGTAAAATCGGATTTTTCTAAAAATCGTTTTTTTTTATATTGAGATGGGAAAAAGAATATAACTTAAATTTATTTAAGCTGAACTACTGAGGTTTTATTTTCTTTTACGCTAGCGATCTTATAAGCCACAACTGCCATGTGTGGCAAAATCCATCTGTAGTACAATTGAAGGTTAAGATTATTTTTACCTAATGTCGCGATCTCTGGATCTGTACTTGGAAAAACATTAATCATACTGCGTCGTTAACGTTTTGAAATATTTAATGAATGCGTCATTTTTTACTTCAATTAGTGAAATTAAAAATCATTTTGGTTTTGTAAAACGAGATGAGTACAAATGATGAACCTGATTTTTAAAAAATAATATAACGATACGAGATATATGAATGTAAAGAGAAATATAACAAGTTTTTGTGTGTGTGTTACTAATTCTCGATGTATGACCGACCCTCTTGTTACACGGCATGATCTGTAATCCAGTTCGCTCTATACATTTTGCACGTAAAATCTCTTCTCTGTCTTTGTCGCCATGTATCGATTTCAATTGCACAGAGATCTTGAATGAGCTGTTGACCATGGGTGTAAAAAAAAAAACTTGGAAAATTTCTCTTTGCATTCACTTATTGTAATATGGGCATTAGTTTCGAAAATATAATTTAAAAAAAATAGGGCCCATCAATTTGTGCGATTGGTCTAAGAAAGAAAATGAAGCATAATTTAATATGTTTGCAGCAAAAAGTGGATTGATTGTAAAATAAATGAGAAAATAAATAGCACAATAAAATATTCCACTCTTTTCCAGGATAGAGAAATGAGAAAGTAATAATACTGTTGGAGCATTTTTTAAAAATCGAAAACATGTCAAATGTGAGGTATTTAACATTTGGCAAGGAGTAACCAACCATACGGGGAAGAAAAATCATCTACGGAATTAAATTCTCGATCTTTCATTTGTGTAATATCATTGGAATAAAATTCACCATTGCCTTTTGATGGAGAAAAGCGCTTGTGTAGTGAGTCGCCCGTGGGAGTTTGGGCGGCTGTTTGAGAGGGAAAACAGCTGCTGTTGTGTGTTGTCAGAGAATCGATATCTGTCCATCTACATGCTGCATTCTTCTCTCGCTCGTCAAACAGCACGCGTCATTGCTCCTCAACGCGTCGTTTATTGCAAAATTAACAAACCCGAGAACAATTGCGCGTGAGTTCTATCCACAACAAATGCATGCTAATGAGGCCACTGCCTTCTCCTATCCCCTTCCGCCTTTATTGACAGATGGTCTGTTTGTGCTGTACGATGTGTTTGACTCGAAATGT